TAAATATAAAATAAGTAAAATAGAATAAAATAAAGTTAAATAAGATTGGGAAAGGCTCTCCTATAAAAGTATGTTTTAAGAAGGGACTAATAAGATTTCACTGACTCAGCCGACCGGATTTCCTCGGGCAGGCTGTTCCAGAGCAGTAGTCAGTAGTATAATTAACTCTGTGCAGGGTCGCGAAGGGGCTGGAGCCAATCCCAGCTGTCATTGGTGAACCCTGGACAGGTTGCCCGTTCATCAAAGGGCTAACTCATAGAGACAAACAAGTCATATGTATTTGAATAGCACCTTTCTAGCCTTTTCGACCACTCAAAGTGCTTTACACTACATGTACAGGGGCGGCTGTGGCTCAGGAGGTAGAGCGGGTTGGCCGTTAATCGGAAGGTCGGCGATTCAATCCCTGGCTCCCCCTGGTTGCGTGTCGAAGTGTCCTTGGGCAAGATACTGAACTGGCTATTCCGCCAGTGTATGAATGAGTGTGAATGCTAGTTTCCGTTTGAGCACTTAGGCTCAGTGTATGAATGTGTGTGACTGGTGAATGCAGATGTAGTGTAAAAGCGCTTTGAGTGGTCGAAAAGACTAGAAGCTAGGCGCTATACAAGTACGGAGCATTTACATCACATTCACCCACCTATGAGCAGAGACCCAACTGCTCATCAGAAACAGAAACTCATTCACAGACTGATGGCCACCAGGAGCAATTTCGGGTTCCCAACCTTCCTTTAAGGGGACGACCGTTCTACCCACGACGACCGTTCCATAATTAAGGTCTATCTGAAAGTCTATGTGGTTTGCATGTGTTTCGTCCACTTCATAGAAATCTGCAGCTACTCTGTGAGCTGGAGAGCTAGCCTACAACAAAACTAACTGTTCCCCTTCGAGGGAACTCGAACTGCGTCGGTTACGACACTATGAGGCAGTGTCTCGTTCCCCTTCTCGGGGAACCAGGGTTACATACGTAACCCGAGACGTTTTTTAAGCTGCAATACAGTCATTCTCTGGATACTTAAGTGTTTATTATTAACTTGTGAAGTAACTGTTAGCAGCTATGTGTCTTCTTTTTGAGGAGTTTTACATTATTCTAACTTGTGATATTAAAGTTAATTGAAAGGAAAAAGGAAATAAAGGAAATTGTTGAATATTGTAAAACAACTGTCAGTGTTGAGCTACCAGTAAAAAATATTAGAAAACATTCAAATTTTGTCAACTTAGTTTTTGTCACATTATTAACACATTTGAGGGGTGGGAAGATGAAAATTAGAAACTTTATTTTTGAGTGGCACCTAAATACTTAATGCATTGTCTTACTCACATGTGAATACCCCATCGCCTCATCTTTAAACACTGAACGTCAATGACCAATATCTTTTAACTTCTGAGTCAGTTTCAGTCCAAAATACAAACAAAACATATTATATTAACAACCCACAACCCTTCTGTTAGAGGGAATTCAATTGAAAAATCAACTCTCTACAGCAAAAATTTACCAACCATGTTAACTACGTCTCTCAGTGAGTTCCTTCATGATACACCTCGATGACAAAACTGACACCATGCATGAATAACCAATAACACAACCAATACCATTAAGCCTGATTAATTACCAGGCTGATTCTCCCTTACTGGTGGTTTCAATTAATCATGCAAATGAGATGCTGTTCGTCCGTCCGTGTGTGTCTGTGTGTGTGTGTGTGTGTGTGTGTGTGTGTGTTTGTGTGTGTGTGAGAGAGAGAGAGAGAGAGAGAGAGAGAGAGAGAGAGAGAGAGAGAGAGAGAGAGAGAGAGAGATGGGTTGTACTCAGGTAATGTGACTCTGTTCTTTGTTTTGGACTCTTGTACCCCTGTCAAGAACGTGGGTGTATGTGTGTATGTGAGTATGTGTTTGTGTGAGTGTGTGTGAGTGAGACATATCATGTACTGATCTGGTGTCAGATATAGATCAACTGGTGTCCAGTAACGACTGCTGTCATTCAGAGAAAGACTTGATGACACAGAATAGATGGTTGAAAGGGTGGAAGGAGGGGAGATTGTTTAAAAATAGGGATGTAAAAATACTCCATCACAAGTCACACACACAGATAAAATGACACAGATAAAAATACACAAGTATTGTAATAAAAAAAAAATATACTGTCTTGTGTTATATTATTATATATTTCATGTTCTTAATACCGATGCATAAATGTGTAAAAAGCATTTGAATGTTGTAGTTGCTCAAGGTTGACTGCAATTTAGCTACTTTACATAATATTGGGAATTTTAATCAATAAAATGTATCATATTTTATATGTTGAACATACGTTTTAGATTTAAAATATGAATCTAGAAAGTAAAGTGTGAAGTTGTCAAAAGTACAACACTTCCCTGTGAAATGTATAAAGCAGCATAAAACAGAAATACTTAAGTACAGTCAGTACAAGTATATCAAATTGTACTTAAGCACAGTACTTGAGGAAACATACTTAGTAACTTTCCACCACTGCAGAGAGGAATGAGAGAAAACCTTGGATTGTGTGGGTTTGTGAAAAGGGTAATAATGTAATTTCTTAATTTCCTAAAAGAATCATGTGATTTGATACTAATTATAGCTAACAAACTTTCACACACACTATCAACAATTAATCAAATAATAGCTGCTGTTCCCCAATATACCTCATGTTGTATTGTGTTGAACACACAAAAATGTGACAATTGCCCTGCATGGAGAATAAAGTTTGCAACAATAAATGAATAATGGGGCTTAAATGGAGCCGTTATCTGAAGGAAATTCCATAAGGAAATTCAACAACTACTTATAAAATCAACTAAGTAAAGTAATCTCTAAATAAAAGTTTGTCTTACGTTTCCCATTATTAGAATTAAATTACATAATAGTTGGGTCTCTGTAAATAAAAAAGAGACTGGTCTGGGCCTGCTCTATATGAAAAGTGCAATGGGATAACTTCTGTTATGAATTAGCCATATATAATCCAAATAATCTCTAAACTATACTGCTGTATATCTTTTGTCCTGTGCAATTATATTTATTTCTATACTGTGCCACTACCTTCTGCTGTGATCTGATCAATCACATATAAATGGTGTATATTTAACTCTTATTCTTATTTTTCTATTTCTCTTATATGTTGTATTTTTCTATTCTGTTTTTAATGAATACGAATCGGAGCTTCTGTAACAAGTGAATTTCTCTGGTGTGGGACTAATAACGTCTAGCTTATGTTCTAAAACATTTTTCAGGAAAACCTCCTAAGAAATGAACACATACATGTGCATGAGTCATTAGATATCTGTTACAGCAAGAGAGAAACATTGTTCTTTTATATAACTACCTGTTTTTGAAGTATTGCGTATGGTCTGGCATCTATTTTGCTAATTTTGTCTTATTGTTACAATTTACCCCAGCATTTGTTACAACCAACCCCTGTATTGGGGCAGGTTGTAACAAGGGAACACAATGCATTTGACATCAACTCACGAGGTCTGTTACATTCTTGTAGAGGATTGAATTGGTGCCATTTGTAGTGAACAAATGTGGGTACTTTGTATAAAAGTTTGAGAACTCTAGCTACAAAATTCTGTGAGTTATAGTTGCTGAAGCAAAAAGTGTTACAACCATACCCGGTCTCCCCTACTCAAAGTATCATAAATACAGTATAAATTAAAACAATATCTCTTATATATCTCGTGTGCAATTCAGAAGTCAAATAACCTAAACATATTGAATAATACAAAATGCCACATATAATTACAAAGGCAACATTTTGCATTCAAATCAGCTTCAGTTAAGCCAGTCAGGTTTAAAACAGAGATGTAGACCTGCTCCCTGATAGCTGCTGGATTAGAATCATCCTTTAAGATGTTCTGGGCATTTTGGTGAAGCCAAAAATGAAAGTGTAACTGAGCTTATTTTTATGAATCACTTTAAGAAGATGATGAGTTTGTGAAAGCCCCTTCAAGCTCTGTCTGCTTGATTTCAGGGGGGGCTGAGGGTCTCTGTGACTCTGCCTGTTATTGCACGCCAAGTTTCATCCTGTAATGCACCGGTTGTAAGGTTCAGGGACCCCCGAGGAAAAGATTAACTATCTCTTCTCTTAAGACTTTGCCAACGTTGTCCTCAAGTGGCCCTCTCTCCCACTCACTCAGCCGTTCGCTCTAATTTTGGTTCATTTGCATCACCGCTGACATCACATTTTGTTTTTCTTTTTATATTGGTCTCCTGTTTCTATCCTCAGCGCACATTCATAATCACACACTGCAGATCTTGCTGACGTGATCAGGTGGACTATTTCTTTTTATCAGAAAAAAACAAACATCCAGAGTGATTCACAAGTCAGGAAGCGAGTATAGGCTTTAATTTCTTTTGATTTCATTTACACACACCACTTTCCAGGTAACAGATGCTGTAATGGTGTGGCCTACCATGCCATGTCGCACGTCACTACTTACCATGTGCGTGATGGGATGTGATACGATACTTACGACCGCCACAGAGATACAGTGTTCATCAGATCTCTGGCTGACTATGGCGGTATCTGTTACGGATTACACTTTCATAATGTTTCCCAAAGTAAAGGAGTTTAAATCCTCTCTCACACACGCACAATCTCCATCCTTTGCTTTAGCCCTTGGTGCTTTGCTGCCCTCTTCACACAGAGGGATTTGGGGGTTGAACGAGAAGGCAAAAATGGTGAACATTTGTGTCAAATGCCCCTTTATCATCACAGATCAAAGAGTTCGGGTGTGTGGGAGCGGCTCTTTACAAAAAGTGGAGCAGAGCCAGGCTTTAAATTTGAATCAGAGGCTTAAGGTTTCAAGCAGTTGGCCATCCTTTCTTTCAGCCGGAGAACAGCAGATAACTGCACACACACGCGCGCGCACTCACACACACACAAAGTGGTAAAAGACACATACATACACACAGACACACAGTGGTAAAAGACACACACACACACACACACACAGGTGAACGTCTTACAAACTGTAGCAGATGGTTCCTACCTGTCCAAACACAGAGTCCACTATGGGCAGCAGGTCAACGGGCTCCACCTCCTCTTCCTCCCTCTCTCCCCTCTGCGGCCCCTCCATCATCTCCTTCAGCGTCTCCTCCAAAGCCTCACCATCCTCTGTTGACGTCTGGGGGGTCTGACCGGATTTGTGATGGCGAGGAGGCTGAGGTGTGGCACTCTGCACATCTCCAGCACCCCCTCCCTGCTCACTGGTTCGCCTCTTCTGCTTCTCCAGCTTCTTCTTGATGGCGGCCTGTACCTGAGTGGGGGGGGGGGGGGGGGGGTTGTCTACTTTACATCTGATCTTGAAAGGTGCTTCATAAATAAACTATAAATGCTTTACTTACCTATGAAATTACACTATGTAATTATAATCATGTTATCAACATATTAACATTTCATGATAAACATACAACAGTGTTTTAAGCTTTGTATTCATAAACTTCAGATAATTAAATGCTTTTTAGTTTTTTTTTTGCCTAAATATCTTCTTGGGCTCAAAAGACTTGTACTTTTCTCTTTAGTTTATCTGAAAACTTAAACATTTGCCAAATATGGAGATACATGCTTTTCGCTAGACAGCAATGATGATCAGTTACATCAAGGGTTAAACAATCATCCATTCATGCAAAATTAAATTCATATAAATGTGTCTTTGTGTACATAGATGAATATATGCACACAGAAAAGCATCTCGATATGTATTTAGAAATAGATGACAGCTTGACAGAGACAATAACATAAAAATTAAACTACATAAATACAGTCCATATTATATACACTCATATTCACACACCTGTTTTGGTGTCTTCTGCTGTGGCGCACTCATCGCTCCGGCACCTCCTCCGGCGGACGGCTCTCGAATGATCATGAACATCTCGATGTCACAGGCTCACACACACACACTCTCTCTCTCTCCCTTGCTCGCTCTCCCCCTCCCTCACCCTCTCTCTTACCTCTTCCCTGCTCTCCTCTCTTCTGCAGTAGCTCTTGATTGTTTGTTTTTCGTTTGTTTTATGTGCTAAAATTTCCCACAAAGTTAGCAATAAAGGTCATAAAAAATTCTGTGTTCCACAAAAACTGCTTAAGAATTCAGCTCTATTGACACAGTGGAAGTCTTTTGCTTATTCCAGGTTTAAAAAGAGACAGATAGAGAATGAATGGATAAATAATAGCTCAAATGTACTTCCTCCTCTCTGCCCGAGTATGTCCTCCAGTTGTTTTCCTCAGTATTGCACCATGCTTCCGTCCATATCTCTCTCTTGGTGTCTGCAGGTGAGGAGGTTTTTATCATCAGCTGTTGTCTTGGCTCTGGGATTAAATTCCTGCACCTCTGCCCCTTCTCGCTATCTCTTCGTCCTTTAGGTGACACTCTATACCTCCTGAACTTTACCTCTCTCACGTTATCTACCTGTAACATATCAACCTCTCTCTCTCCTTCTCTTCCTCCCCTTCTTCCACCTTTCCCCTTCACTACAGGTAAACACTCCTCCTGTTGCCTGGGTGCTTTGTCACAGCTACCATTCCTATCATTAGTGTAGATGTGTAAAAAATGCTGTAAAGTAACAATGCTTTCAAAAATAGACATGTTAATAGACTATGTTTATCAATTAAGAAAAATTAAAAGTGAGTGAACAGAAGAAAAAGCTCAAAAATCAAAAATCAAATCAATATTTGGTATGACCAGCCTTTGTCTTCATAACACCATCAATTCTTCTAGGTACACTTGCACAAAGTCAGGGATTTTCGCTCGGCAGCCATCTTGGCAACGCCTCCAGGCAGCTATTTCGGTCTAACAAGACCAGGCTCCTGTCTGAATTAATGGAGAGAGAGCCAGATCGGTACTTTCACTGGTCACCGGGACATAAAAACTACATGAATAGAATCACCAGTAAAATCTAATAATCGCTGAAAAAGTTTGATGACTTTGCCCCAAAATAAGGTTTAACAAGCGTTTTTCCCGATCGGTAATATTCTACTGCGCATGTGCAGCAGAAGAATAACAGACCCTTACGTCAGTAGAACCACACAATTGGCTGAAATATGTTTCCCACTTTGGCTCATAAAAGCAGAGTATTGGCTTTCTAGCTGGGGGGGGGGGATAACCGCCATCTTTGCTGTTATGGGCTTTCCCCATAGAGATGTATTGACGATGTGATTGAGTGGCGTGTCTATAAAACGTCCCTGGTAATGATCACCAGTTCAATATGCAGGTTTCACCAACTGAAACTGAAACAGCTGTGTAGGAAGAATACATCTGGGTGAGGAACAGCCAAACTCAGCTAACAAGATGAGGTTGCTGAACACAGTTTACTGTCAAAAGTCACACACCATGACAAGACTGAGCACAGCAACAAGACACAAGGTAGTTTTACTGCATCAGCAAGGTCTTTCCTAGATAAAAAAAATTCAAGGCAGACAGGGGTTTCCAGATGTGCTGTCCAAGTTCTTTTGAAGAAGTACAAAGAAATGGGCAAAGTTGAGTACTGTACTGGTCGGCCAAAGAAACCTACCACAGCAGATGGGTTGGGTATTTGGTCAGATCTGATGGTTTTCTTAATGCTGAAAAGAACAGGCATACTTTTCCATCATGCAATACCATGAGAGAGGCATCTGGTTGGCCCCAAATTTATTTTGCAGCATGACAAGACCCCAAACATACAGCAAAAGTCATTAAGAACTATGTTCAGTGTAAAGATAAACAAAGAGTCCTGGAAGTGATATTATGGCCTCCACAGATCCCTGATCTCAACATCATCAAGCCTGTTTGGGATTCCATGAAAAGAGAGAAGCAACTGAGGCTGCCTAAATCCACAGAACAACTGTGGGATGTTTTGGCAACATACCTGCCAAGTTCCTTCAAAAGTGTACCTAAAAGAACTGATTCTGTTTTGAAGACAAAAGGTGGTCACACCAAATACTGATTTGATTTAGCTTTTTCTTCACTTTGCATTGTGTTATTTGATAAATGTAATCTATTAACATCTCTATTTTGGAAAGCATTTTTACTTTACCTCATTTTCTCACACCTGCCTAAAACTCTTACACAGTACTTCATATATATATGTCCTTGAAATGTGCTTATGCTCCTCCAGCTGGCCTCTTTCACTCATCTTATTCCTTATTTTTTTCCCTCCCTTCCTCGCCTCTTCGTTGTCACCATCATTTGCCTCTAACAGTAATGATTGTTGCTCTCAATGCTTCTCCTTTTCCCTGTGTGTCTCAATCTATTCGCCCTCAATCCCCTGTCCTCCCCGTGTCATGTCTGGAGCCTTTGTTGTAACACAAATTGGATTCTTTTGGGAGGTGCGCAGGTCAGCTATTCACAAAGTGCTAGAGAGAGATAGAAAGAGAGAGAGGGGTACAACGAACCCAGCAGCTATGTAAAGATTTAAAGACTTTTGTTGAGCTCTAACGCATCACCTCGTTGTTGTCCTGCATGTATAATCTCATCCGGCAAGCATGGCTGAGCACACACACATGCACACGCAGGTGAACATGTCACCGCTGACCTCTATTTTTAGACATGAATGTTCACACAAGCGTGTAAACATATTATTGTGCTTCTGAGCTCTCTAACAGCCATATAGCTTCATAGCTTTTGTTTAAAGCAACTAATTCCACTAAAAGCATCAGCTTTCTATAAATAACACATCCCATCAATTTGTTTGCACTCCTCTCGAAAAGGCAGGTGTTTGGCAGCTTTGAGCTGATAAAGCATCTCACTTTCCCCCTATTTTGCCTGCCCTGAAATCTCCCTCCTTCTCTGCCTCTCCTGCTTTCTCTCTCTGCATCTCCTGTTAACCCGCATTAAACATTTCTCTTTCAAACTGAAACAGACCCTGATAGTGTTCGTATATGCTCTAGACTTCGGGTATAATGTATAGCTTGACTTCTCTCCAGTTCCTAATGAAGTTTCCATTAATCACTTTAACCCCCGTCTTTCAGCCCCTCTTTCTCGTTGATTATTGATCGATGGGAGAGGCAAATTCTTCAGTGGAGACAGAAAAGAGATCCATTACAGAAAAGCTGAGTTAGTGGCACTAAGGGTTAAAAATAGGTATTGTATTTTGGGAACAAATCAGTCATGTGAGGGAGGAAAGATGAAGGATGAATGAGCAAGTTGAGATGAGGGGTGGAATAAAATACTGCATTTTCATGGAGAAAATGTAAAAAGACCAAAAAAAAAAACTTTTAGGAGAATTACTTTCATCTCAGACTTGTCTTTCACCTTGGCCCTCAGTGAACCTGATCAAAGACAGGGATGAATGACAAAGGGAGTGGCAGCAGAGCAGTAATGTAGAAGTGAAGGCTTGTGTTACTGCATGTTGATCGGCCTGCAATAATATCTAATTACAGATCAGGGCAGTTAGAGGAGAGATGGGTTGGACAGGACATAACCCTGACAGGTATAGTTTTAAGACCAGCAGCCTATGGTTAATGTATTGGCAGATGACGCACAGATTGAGCTGACATGGACAACATATACGTTTTATTTGGGTCAGACTAATTTTCATTATTTATTTGCTCGTAATAGTAGTCAGATTCCCACATTGCTCAATTGGCACAAGGGAACTCATTAACCTTACTTAACTGAAAAGGGAAGACTTTGTGAGTATCCGTGACAGGTAAACACAAAACTCCAACACAGCCTGGCCACAGATAATCAACTGATTATCTTGAGAAAAAGGTGTTTTTTTTTGTCATAGTACACAGTGTCATCAGACCAGTTTTTCTTGAGACAAACATGTTTCAATTCAGTTCAATTCAAAGGGCTTCATTGGTATAGAATGTTTACTTTGCCAAAGCAAGTGTTAAAAATAAAACAAATGTGCATAAACAGAAGAATTGTGATTTTTATATATATATATATATATATATATATATATATATATATATATATATATATATATATATATATATATATATATATATATATATATATAATACACACACACACATACACAAACATATATTTATATATATACATACACACACACACACAGGAGGTTGGTCTCAGGTGTGAATGGGGAGCAGGTGTGTTAAATTTGGTGTTATTGCTCTCACACTCTCTCATACTGGTCATACTGGCTTCTCATGGCAAAGACCTCTCTGAGGATCTGAAAACAAGAATTATTGTTCCACATGAAGACGGCCTAGGCTGTAAGACGATTGTCAAGACCCTGAAACTGAGCTGCAGCATGGTGGCCAAGACCATACAGCGGATCAACAGGACAGGTTCAAATTGGTCTACATGGCTGTCGTCCATGATAATGCACAAGAAAGCCCGCACACAGTTTGCTGAAGACAAGCAGACTAAGGACATGGATTACTGGAACCATGTCCTGTGGTCTGATGAGACCAAGACAAACTTATTTGGTTGAGATGGTGTCAAGCGTGTGTGGCGGCACCCAGGTGAGGAGTGCAAAGACAAGTGTGTCTTTCCTGCTCTCAAGCATGGTAGTGGGGGTGTCATGGTCTGGGGCTGCATGAGTGCTGCCGGCACTGGGGAGCTACAGTTCATTGAGGGAACCATGAATGCCAACATGTACTGTGACATACTGAAGCAGAGCATGATCCCCTCCTTCAGAGACTGGGCCGCAGGGCAGTATTCCAACGTGAAAACTACCCCAAACATACCTCCAAGACGTCCGCTGCCTTGCTGAAGAAGCTGAGGGTAAAGGTGACGGACTGGCCATGCAAGTCTTCAGACCTAAACCCTACTGAGCATCCGTGGGGCATCCTCAAACGGATATTAGAGCAGCGCAAGGACTCTGACATCCACCAGCTCCATGATGTCATCATAGAGGAGTGGAAGAAGACTCCAGTGGAAACCTTTGAAGCTCTGGTAAACTCCATGCCCAAGAGGGTTAAAGC